TGTGACCCTCAATTGACTTCAAATCTAAGGGTGTGATGCTTTTAGGTAATAAAACTTTAGCTCTCGTGACCAACTTCTAACTCTAAAAGCACATTAATTACACTTTTTTCATAACTAATCAAATCTCAAGCTTTGAATTAATTTTTGTCGGCCGTTTCACACACGGAGCTTGACTTACATAGAAAGTTTTGACAAAATAGAAAGAAACCCAAATGACGACCATATCCTGGAAGTAAACCCTTACAACATGAACTCTCTAAATTTTATCCACTTATTGGTCAAAAGACTTGCAACATGGCCCCTGAAACTATTTGATGGACAAATCATTCTATGTGATGGTATATGCGATAAATAGTATTATTGACTCTATAGGCTAAAAGGGTATCGTATATGTTAAGGAGACAATGCTTATAAGTTGGATCACAGTTATTACAAAGACTAAAGAAGACTTGGAATGCTTCTAACAACCTTCCAATTAATGAAATTATATACACTAATATTCGGATTTTCTTCACTTAATCATCTTAGACTCAAAGGCTGTATTTTCTAAACATATTATATTGTAGATATTGAAATTGGTGGGTTTTATAAAGAAATTGCGGACATATTTAATTTAACAAATTGATATGTATGCATGCATGTTCATTTTTTATTTAAGGAATCAACGATTTGTTGGATATTTTGGGACCACTAATAAATGTATATAAATAATGTTATCATTAATTTTATATTATTATGGAAATTATATAAAATTATTGATGGACCGATTTTATTAATAAATAAAGATATACACTTACCATGTTTATCTTGTGGTTTGAGTTCCCGGTTTGACTCAAAATCTCCTAAATCCCTAATATCTCTCACATTCGATTATATCTCCATCTATATAAATACGTGATGAGAAACAGATTTACAACACACGAAACACACATGAAAATTCGTTTAGGGTTTGCTGTGGGATTTAGAGAGAGTTCTTGAGATCAACTGGAAAACCAAACCCTAGTTCTTCAGATCCGAATATCATAATGAAATCAGGTATGTAATCGTTCTTTCTTGTTTAAGTTTTCTTTTAATCAGATTCGAGATTAAAGATCTTCATATTATGCTTCCGCGTTTTACGTTTTGGTTATGAAAATATCTAACAATTGGTATCAGAGCCTACTCGAATCTGTTATTAGAAATTTTGGGATGGTTTTAGTTCTTTTGATCTTTCAACTAAAACATATTTGGATGTATATGTTTACTCTTCTTTCTTTTATCGGCATTTCTTGCTTGACTCGGTGATATGAGATTGTGATTGGTGTGTGTTATATAGCCATTTTTCTGTTATATGTACTGAAAAATCACGGCAATAAGTGATCAAGAACTATCCTTCGTATTTTCCATTTACTTTTAACACAAGGATCGGTTAATGTTTTTCTATTTAGTTTTAACACAAGGACCGGTTAATGTTTGTGAAGTAATTGTTTTGACAATGTCCATAAATGCATTATGAACTTAAAATGTGCCTTTCGGATTTGGACGACTTCTTAATTTAATAAACACCCATTTATGTTATGATTCTTTAAAACTAATGCATGTACATACGGTGATTATGATTTTTTTTTTTTACACTCACCTTTAATTTTGGGTGTTATTATAATATTAAGGTATCCAAAGCTGTTAAAATATCACACATCATAGCTTATTATCAATGGGATTAGCAATTATTATCGTTTCTACACATAATTGCTTTTGATTAATTTTAATCCAAATTAACAATTATTTGGAAGGGTTGATATTGATTTAATATTTAATATTAAAGAATCAAGTATTTAGTTTTGAGAAAGTTACCAAATTTTCAGTTTTCATATTAATCGGCTTGTACAATGGGATTATCAAACTTGGTCTTCATAAAATTCTTATCTGAAGATTCTTAAATTTATTTATGTTGTGTTATCTTGTTTATTTTTAAATAAGTATATACTATTTTTTTAAACTATTATCGAGAAAAAATTTGAAGACTTTTGGTTGTCTATAAATTCAATTATGATATTATTTTCATAGTAAATTAACTAACACAATATATCACCAAAGTGATCACTTTTGTGAAAATTAATTTACGATAAATATAAATATATTTTGTTTCTGTGTTTGTTAATGCGGATATTAATCGATCCAAAGATAGGTTAATATTTGGCCGGATAAACACATGTTTGATGATAAATATGCGACAATTTTTAGGTTACATGTCATTAATTAGTCAATCCAAAGAAGGGCTTGTTAATTGACATGATATATTGTCAATTCTTCTTATCAAAATTTATAATTTATGTGTTTATTAATGCGGATATTAGCCGACCCAAAGGTAGAGTAATATTTGGCAGAATAAACATATATGTGGTGATAAACATGTGGCGATTTTTTGGTTCCATGTGATTAATAAGTCAATCCAAAGAGGGGCTTGTTAATTGACATAATTTATTGTCAACGTTTATCTGTAAAATAAGGATATCTCTTGTAAGTTAGTATTACTGTCCAAAAACTTGATATTAATGTTGTGTTGATATCTTATAAAAATGTCATAAACTGAAATTTTTGATTACTGTTTATGGATTAATGAGCATAAAAGTAGATTTACCTATATTCTCAAAACAAAAATTTGAATTATGGTATTATACCTGTTAACATTGATCACATTTATGATTCTTACTCAATGAGATTAACTTTAAGGAATGCAATGAGGACATTATGTTAGTTCTCAATTGCGTGGATATTGACCATTCATTTTGGATAGAGCGACATTCTTTGAGGATGTTGAGTTTGGGGGAGAAACAAGGTTAAAACATCATCCTTAAGGAGGAATCAATCTTGATTCCTATTATTGCTTTTGATAGTATGCAAATTATGAATCAGTGATCAACAATGTTTTTCAATCTCCTATTTTGAATACACAAACTCAACAACCTCAACTTTGGATATCCTATGCGTGGTACCATATTTTTCATCAATTTATTATCTCTTTTGGTTTTGGGGTAAATACAGTAAATGATATTGTGTATCACATATTAAGTGGGAGTAAATTTATCTTTCTGGTTTTTGGTCGATATCTATGCAACCCAAGTTTGGATCATAAGAAAGTAGCCAAATGAATTTTTAGATATAACAAAAGGCTGTATGCTCAACTATAGGAAATCAGATGTTTTGGAGATCATTTTTATTAAAAATCTGATTTTATTAGATGCCAAAATGGTTACCGATCCATATCGGGATACTTTTACATTTTAGCATGATGAGCCACTTCATGGAATAGACTTCGGTAGCATCTTCCATAATGGCATCATAATTTATAGCATGGAATATGGTTGCGAAAATTTGTCACGAGGCTACACATTATTGGTATTGAAAGACCACTAAAGTTGTGATAATAAGTCAGCAATGTTATATTCCAACAACAGAAGTTCTATGAAGTCAAAGCATATTGACATCAAGTTTCCTTCTGTTAACACAATAATGCAAAATGGAAATATATATAGCACATATGAACAAACTCCATGAAAGCGGATCCGCTCATAAAGGGTTTACCTCCCTAGGTCTTTCATGAGCATACTACACACGTTGGTGTGATATTTGGTTTTAGTGGGAGTTTTATGGGGCTTGATGTTTTGTATAAGAACAATTATGTTTTCTGTACAGAATTTAGAATTCAGTTTACTCCATTATTAGTTGTACTTATTTGAAGTTTGATCTCACTTCAATCTAAAGAGGAACTCATCGAAAATTGATTTAGATTTTAAAATCATACATCATGTTTAATCTATGTCATTAGTTATATATGCATATGTGACCATTGATAGGTTTAGTTACGTAAATTGTAACGAAGACCGCTTTGATCCTATACTTGTATGATTAGTGGACGAGATTGTTTAAGGGTACCAATACTATGATAACAATCATTAAAGCGCTTATACAGTTATATATACATTTATGCATTCGTGGTCCAGTGGGAGATTGTTGGATATTTTGGGACCACTAATAAATGTATATAAATAATGTTATCATTAATTTTATATTATTATGGAAATTATATAAAATTGTTGATGGACCGATTTTATTAATAAATAAAGATATACACTTACCATGTTTATCTTGTGGTTTGAGTTCCCGATTTGACTCAAAATCTCCTAAATCCCTAATATCTCTCACATTCGGTTATATCTCCATCTGTATAAATACATGATGAGAAGCAGATTTACAACACACGAAACACACATGAAAATTCGTTTAGGGTTTGCTGTGGGATTTAGAGAGAGTTCTTGAGATCAACTGGAAAACCAAACCCTAGTTCTTCAGATCCGAATATCATAATGAAATCAGGTATGTAATCGTTCTTTCTTGTTTAAGTTTTCTTTTAATCAGATTCGAGATTAAAGATCTTCATATTATGCTTCCGCGTTTTACGTTTTGGTTATGAAAATATCTAACACGATTATCAAAATTTCCAACTCAAAGTATTAAAAGACGATCAAACTAATTAACAATTTAATAAGTTGCCGTTGATACAATAAAACTAACAAGATCTCAAAATCAACATTAGATATCTAGACTAGAGGGAATAATGTTACTTTTGTCACACCCTTTATGTTATTACATAAACTTTACGTATGATTTGTGATACCTCTTTAAAACTATGCCATTTAAAGGGCGTGATTTGTTACTTTTGCCATTGTTTTTTATTTTACTAAAGTTAATATATATTATAAATAATCAATTTAAACAAATTAAATTTTATAAAAACTAAATTTTATTAACTTAAAAGGAAAATTACAAAACACTTAAAAATAAGAAACGTAGAAATTAAAAATGTGAAATATCGAAATTAAAACTACTAAACATAGATTAACCTATATATATATATATATATATATATATATATATATATATATATATATATATATATATATATATATATATATATATATATATATAAAGTTAGGAACCGTAAACATAAATAGATATTGGCAAAGATAGTCTACATCTTTAGATTTTTTGGTAGAAATCGTCCTTCCATTTTATTGGTGTGTCATATTCGTTTTTCTGGGTACTGTGTGATATTTTCTACTTTTTTCTGGGCATTATGTGATGTTTTCTAGAACTTATCCATTCACACGATTTTGTTTAGAGTGTTCTTCACCGTTTTGTTGGCTAATCACAGCTGGATTGGTGTTAAATCTTCTTTTTCATTTTTTTAAAACTTTTTCCACATTCATTTTCTTTCTATGTTTCGATCTACCGTTCTTTCTGTTTTGTCTCTTCCATTTCTTCCTCTAATCACACATGTATATCTTCCCACCGTCTTCAACCTTTTTACCTTTTTGGGTGCTTCGGATACTTTATTATTATTTTGTTTTTCCTTTTGTTATGTCTACCAATTGTAAGCGACAGTATGTTGGTGTTGGATCGTCGTCTGCTGGGGCTGACTTTGGTTCTTGTTCGGGTCCTGTTGTTGCCCCTGTTCTTCATCATAGTCGATAGTCCTCACGTATGTGGTTCACTGATGTTCTTATCGACTATCTCGGTTTAGGTGACTGTGATTGTGTTTGCGAATATTATGGCGCTTTTTTTTGGTTTGTTGAAAGAAGCTTCAAACTATCTACAACTCATCATCCGAGATATTGTCGATGTTACCGCCTCCAATCCCTCTATATGTTCCATTGTCGATCGTTTCACAGTCACCACGTTAGTCCAGGTAAGTACATCTTCTACCTTCGCTTCTTCTTTTCTCCCTTCAATTTGATTTTTCGCTTTGCTACCGACATCAGGAGCAGTGGACGAACTCGCTGCTCGCCTACCCTCATTTCCTTTGTTGTTTCAAATTAGATCCGTGTGCTATCGAAAACGCATCATCGGCTGCTTCGAATCCAACATTCTCCCGAAACCCTTTCCATCTTACTTTCACTGCTTCTTCACGATGTGTCTTTTCTCAACGATTTTATGAGATGTTCGATTTGTAGCCTTAACTTTCACTCCTTAAATTTTGCAGGTAGCTCCTTCTGTGAAGCCAAAACTTCTGGTAAAAGCCCTAACTTTCTATATTTGAGTCATCTGATGATTCCTTTTTCAATTTATTGAGCCCTATTTGATCTCTTCACGTTCATTTCAGATTTACAAATTTGGGATGGTTCCCCTGGAAGACGTGTAAGTTATTGAATATGTTTTTGTGGCTTTTTGTTTGATAGGAAATGTATTTTATCTTTAAACTAAAAACAAATTCATGTAAAAAAGTTATGCAGTTTTGTTTGCTAATGTTGGAGGATATGCACTTGATTCCCATCATGGATTTCTGGTGGAACACGGATTGATTGAGATATGGAATTGGGGTCTCATGGGGATGCTTCAGAGTTGACTTTAAATGTCTGTGTGGGTTTGGGGAAATAGTTTGTTGGTGGAGAGCTGTTTTTTACACGTGTTAGGTGTGAGAAACAAATGCATACCGAATCACACTACCTGAGGTAAATTAAAAAAGTTATACTCCTAGATTATATTTTTATATTGTATATTTTATTTAAAATTAAAATTTATTTAAAGGAGATATTTGAATACTCACATGTCCCCAGTCATGCAATTATTCAGACATGGCGCTACAACCACTACAAGTGGAAATAGGGTCAATTTAGGTATTATTTATTTATTTACTTACTTTCTGGGAATTAGATTAATTTGAAAATGTTTTTTTGATAAAACTATATTTTGTTACAATTCTGTGTTTAGAGAGGTTTGAAAACACAGGGAAGGAGTTTACAACTACCTGGTATGGTGAATGTTAATGGGAGAGCAGAGAAAAGCTTGATCAGGTTGTGGTCACTTTATGCCAGAACTCTCAAACTTACTTATGAAGAGTAGAAGCTTTCGATAGAGGTATAACTAACTTCAAAATTCTTGAGAAAATTTCATTTTAGGTCCTTCAATTTAGATGATTTTTGCCAAGTTTGGTCCTAAACTGTCTGTTCAATTCACGGTCCTTGAGATTTTTGTGACCATTTTAGTCTATGTTCCATGTAATATGACAATATTACCCTTATCTAATTTTTTTTATTTACTTAAAGCTTGTTATCTAGTCTCTAATGTAACATTTAAATAATTATTATATACTATTACTTTGAAACAATAAAAACTCCTGACACTGTTATTTGAGAAGGTGAGGTTTTGATGAAGTAAGCTCTTCTAACATGATGTCACTAGTGATAACAAGACATACAATTAACCATTATATATATATATATATATATATATATATATATATATATATATATATATATATATATATATATATATATTCAGTCTTACAATTTAGATGCTTTCAACAAAAAGACACATACAATTTAGTATTTTTTTATGATTAAAGTTTACTTATACATAACAAAATCCAACAAGGGTATCATACTATTTTATGATATGTAATTTAAATTTTTTGAATCTCTAATCAAATATATAGATTATCAAATGCACAGACCAAAATAAAGATAACTATCTACTAAAAAACCTACAAGAGTCATATGTTGGTTTTTGATTAACTTACACATGTTAAAAAAAATAGAATCTTTGAGAAACTACTTTTGATTTCCTTTGTAGTTTTAATCTTACAATTACTAATTTTAATATTTTTTCTGTTTCCCAACAACCACGCGAGAAATAGCAATGTACTTTTGTTCTAAGCAACAAATAGTTATGTACTTAACCATTTTGTCTCTAATGAAGTTAAATGGATTAAAAAAAATTAGAAAGTGGTTTACTTTAATTTTTAACAGATCTAGGAAGATCTAAATAGGTATGGTCCAATCGTGTTTTTTCATTTACAGAAGATCACATCACAACCCACCTGATAAAGTTTTAAATTTTTTAATGTTATTAAGAAACTTTCATCTATAGCATGCATGAGCTTTTAAAGAAAAATGAAATTCTATTTTACATTCAGAAGATTTATGTAGGTATTATGTCTTTCAAATTTCAATTTTCAAACACCAATAAGACTGTAATAGTAGTGTTATTTTTGTCATTTTCATTTGGGGTTTTGTAGATGAATGAAAAAACTTCCCTTCACATATTAAACATGATGAAAATACCTGAATCGGTACTTTTGAGAATGACAAAAATAATTTTAATTTTCTGATTTTTTATTATTTGATTTCCGAATCTGATTTTTTATTTTTTAATGAATCCGATTTTTGATTGTACACATATTTCTTTGGATTTTTAAATCCCTTTGTCAAACTTATTCAGTACACACACAAGAACTCGCCCGGATCTATTTCCTTCCAGTTGTGAGGTGTGGCATGGTTACTTTTGGGTTGATTTTTCATGACTTTAGAGGGTACCAATTTTCACCCATGTAACTAAAACAGGTCAATTTTCGCATTGCACTTTGAATTACCCATCTTTGGCATTACACTTCGAATTGTTTCATATTAGGACACTGTAGCTAGAACAAATACATGAATGTACGTTGCTGTTTATTGCATTTATAATCCTTTTCATAATTTTGTTCTTTTTTATTTTTCGTAATGTACTAGCTTTTATTCAGTGGATCCAAAAAAGTTGTGACTGTTCAACGCTGTGAAAATGGCACGACTATCTTTAAGGAACGTATATTAATATATGAACGTATCCTCATGTCAAGCAATAAAAAATCCAATCGACACATTTACTGCAAAACATAAGCCTTTTTTCATATGACGTCATTTTTTGTGGCATGACATTTATGATTTTATACGAGATGAGATGCAACGAAAAGGGGACCACTGGGTCGAAGAATTTCACTAGGAACGAAAGTGATTGCAGAAGGCGGATATGAGTTTTAAGGGTAGCACACCTACTTGCGTGCTACACCTAATGTTATTTATTATGCTTTTGTATTTTTAGGGTAGCTCACGTAAACATTGATATTCTTTAGTCATATTAAGTTATTTAAGCTCCATATTATGTAACTGAATTTCTGAAATAGGTTTTTTTGTTTCGATTTTCAGGTTTATTTGAGAACACCAATTTTGTTCTTCTGATAAACACTGTGTTCTAATTAAAACTTTGAGGAACACTTTATGAAAACCACACAAGGAGTTGAAAAATAAAAGATTCAGAAATAAAGTTAATTTGATATTTGGAAGTCATATTCATCCACAAACATCATCAGGAAATGCCTATAGTTGCACACAAAAGCAAAGGCTTCTAACCCCCGTAACGCGGGGGGAACGCATCTAGTTGTTGTTGTTGTTGTTGTTATTATTATTATTATTATTATTATGATTACAGTCTCATATTTGGCTTTAACACCAATTCTCTTTTGAGTTCGGTAAGGTGACTAATATTTTTTTTTTGAAGATTGCCATCTCACGAGATTTTTCTTTTTTTTTTTCAACACTCAAGTATTGCTCCAAAGTAGTCTTTAAGTTGTCCATTTGGTTGTCATTTGCTCGATTTCAATCGAACTACTTGGTCTCTTCCTATGATACAATTATCTCTTGGAACCTTAATAGGCTCATCTTCATTGAGGTTCTTGACATGCACATCTGACGATTAGTTATAAATGATTTCAGATGTTTTGGTTCTTTTAGAAGAATTACTTGTGAATGATTCTAAAGTTTGGATATCTTGCCACTTTTTTAACACTTTCAATACATTCCAAATATGAAGAAATTTGAAAGGTACTCCCTTATCATTACGGTAAAGTGTTAGAGCTTTTTGCAAGATTGTTTGATCATTTGTACCACTTTGTCACTACCACATCACACTCATAAATATCACGTTAAACTCCATGACAACTTTGTTGGTGTTCATCCATTTCGAATAAATTTGATCATTTTTTTGTAGTCTCCAAACTTCATTCCCAAGAGAAAACAACTAGTACCTTTCTAGTAAAAAGTTGGTGCATCTTAGTTGTTCCTAACATTTGTGTCTTTCGAAACATCTATCCACATACCATCCAATGCAACTTCTTCCTCCGGTGTCTACTTCTTGGAAGATGTCATTCCTTTCTTCTAGAGTTTCAATGTATGTCGAATCTCTTCCAGCTTGGAATCCATTGTGAGTACAACTTCATGTTGAGAGTGAGTTTTGAATTGGGGTTGGGGTTAGAACTAGAATTGTGAGTCGGGAAGGTGATCAAATGGGTTGAACTTATTTTCCGATTGGGATTGCACTTTAGTGGAATTGAAATTGGGATTGTGATTGGAATTGTGGTTGGTTTTTAATAGGATATGGAGTGTAGTATGCACCGAGATTTGGTAATTAATAGGTGAATAAATAGGATAATTACTTTGATTTTGGACGAATGTGAGTTTCGAACTGGGTTTGTGTTTTAGGTATTTTCTTGTTTGTTCTTGGAGTTTTTGGGTTGGACGGGGAAGCCATTTTTTCACAAAACGTAGAGAGTGTTTAAGTGAAAAGTTGCTGCTTGTTGTGTGTGATGAGTTTTGGTCCTAAGAACATCCTATGTGCTCATACAAACCCTAATGCTTGGATCTAGGTTTCTCTATTGTACATGCAAGTTATTCAAGACTATAAACCCTAATTCTAGCAATCAAATAATCATATTAACATGAGAATAGGTTTATAATGTTACCTTGATTGTTATGTAGCAATAACAATCCCAAATCTCCTTGTATTGACTTTGGAAGGCTTAGAGTCACAAGTGTCACTCCTCTAATGGTTCACAAACACCATAAGCAAGAGGATGAAGAGGAGAGAGGATGGAGGCTACCAAAACTCGTGTGAAACCCTAGCAAGAAGCTTAGCCACGTTTTTGGTCCTTAAGGGATCTATATATTGTGAGGCAATTAGGGTTATCTAACAAAGAAACCCTAATTTGGATGCTTAAGCCCTAAGCAACCCATGGAGCCCTTTCCTTAAGGCCTTGGACGATTTCATATGGGCTTCCCCCATAGAATTTGTCCACCTTATAATATAAGGCAATCCATGGCCCAAATTGTAATTATATTATAATTACAATTCCAATCCCTTAAGTTTAATTAATCTCTTTTAGTCACAAAACTAATTACCAATTAATTATGACTAATATTAATTAAACAATATGATTTCTCCT